CTAATATATTTGGTTTGGAAAACTGTGTATCTCTAAAATGTGCAGTAATGTGTTAGTTGAATGATGGCAGGAGAAGGTTTGAAATGACAGCTATTTGAAGGTCAGTTGGATTAAAAGACAATATGGATGTGAGGATATTAAAGAAGAAAGCAGATTACAGAAAAACAAAGATATATAGTGTGACATTTGGTATTACTTGTTTGTTTTTTTTACAATTTCTCTGTAAAGTCACAACTGAGTCTGCAAACTTACCTACACAGGACCTCTTGTCGGGCTGCAGGGTGTACCTGACGTGACACCTGCATATCGGGCCGTTCTCTGTGTCTTCGCAGGTGTGCTGGCAGCCTCCGTTGCCATGGTTACAAGTTACTGCAGGGGTCAACAACAGGCAGACATGAGACATATTCACAGTACAACCTTTGAAGCCGACTGTGGGCGTGTAGTGCGATGTTAGCTTCATGCCGCGCAGCACGTACAGATGCAGCCTCTCTGGTTCCGGGCCAGCTCGAACCCTGGACGACACTCGCAGGCCACACCTCCTTTGGGTGTCTCTTTGCAGATGTGGGCGCAGCCGTGCTCCTTATTCATACAGTTGAGGCCCTCTGGGATAGAAAGAGGGAGAGAGGTGCACAATGAAACTCTCCTACAGTGACTGACCGGCTCCACACAAAGGCACACACACACTGAGAGATTAGTTCGGCATCCTCAAAGACACTGATTGTTCTCACGCCTTAAACTAAATCCCAAAACATCCACCACTGCGTTATTGTTGAGCACTTCTGAGTAAATATGTAAGCATGGGAAAGGGAAAGGTTTCTCAAAATGTCATTCAATTAAAGCAAAGCCCTGTAAACTCTTCTAATAACAAAGTCACAACAACATGAGATGAGGTGAATCACCATTTATATAGATGGGTCACAGCTGAGTGGATTGGTCCACAGGATTTTAAAGGGTTGTCAAGACCCGATTGAGTGGAAAGCACTTGCATTTAGGTTGACTTCAGTCAAGGAGACAAAACAAAGAGACTTCAGACTAATCTGTGACACCGACCACATAGACCAGAGTGTTGCAGTTATTAACTTATTTTGTTCTCAGGGACACAGAAATCCCTTTCCCACAGCATGTTGCTGCTGCAGATAAAAGCTCAGTGACGGGAGCCAGCTTGAACCTGTCACCCCTCATTGTGCCGTCAATCTTAGATTTGTATGTGAATATTGCGAATTTACTTGATATATCTTTGTCTTCTTTCACAAACTAATACAATTAGCAATACAAGCCTCCACTCACACAACTAACACAAACTCAAAACCTATTATATATATATGAACTAGGCATTGTCTACACTTTCCCACCTGTCAGATATTTAAGCCACATTTAAATGTGTGGGAGTGGGACAAAATGTCGTCAATGATTCAGTAGATGTTGTTGTTCACTCACCCACAGAGCGGTGGATGCATGTGTGCTGGTTGTCGCTGAGGAAGAAGCCTTCTTTGCAGCGGCACTCATAGCTGCCCATGGTGTTAACACAAGTGTGCTGGCACCCTCCATTGTTGAACTTGCATTCATCCACATCTACCAGAAAGCCGATTGATTGCATTAGTTAATAGCATGTACAAAACAATGGCAAAGTATATGTTATTTTCACAAATTAGTTGTTTTTTAAACGTATTGAAATAAAAAAAGTCTGCTTATTCAAGTGTTTACTGTAGAACACATTTCAGACAAATCCTTTAAATCATTCCATGAGCAACACATTAAAACTTTACCAAAGAGGGCTAAAGAAAAGCAGTCTGAGTGTGAGAAACTTCACATACAGCCCACACAAACATGAACTCTTCACCATAGAAGCTCTCTCTGTCTATCACAAAAGGTTATTTACTCAGTGGTTTAAAGCTGATCTTACCTAGACAGTTATGTCCGTCATGTGCCAAATTGAATCCATCATAACAAGTGCAGCGATAATTTCCTGGTATATTGTTGCACTCGTGTACACAGCCACCATTGTAGTCAAAGTCGCATTCATCTACGTCTGAGAAGTAAACACCACATAAATGAATGTTCACCTACTCACCACAACATTAAAATCCAAACATTTCAGTATTTGAACAGTAATAACAAGAACTTAACTGCACTATGTGTTAAAGAGTTATAGGAAAGATAAAGGAGCACAGATATCAAATACTCCTTTGGGAATTCAAATGTTATGCCACAAAAGATTTAAGAATGATTTGATATTGTAAATACAATCATTTAGATAGCATATCAGACATATAATGTGCCCAAACACCACCCTGCTATAACATTTATTCCCAAACATCCAAACTCTGTGATTCCACTTTGACACTCAGATATATATGGGAATCAAACTGTTCAACAAAAAAGTAAACACATTACCTTCGCAGTGTTTTCCATCTCCTTTAAAGCCTGCTCTGCACGTGCACTTGTATGAGCCTAGGGTAGTCTGACAAATGGCATCAATGTGACAGCCATCACTTCCCTCGGCACATGGATCTGCTGAAATCCAAATGGGTCGTACAGGTCATGATTACCAAAACACATTTCTAGCCAACACACTCAAATAGTGCACTTACACAAATAGCATATGAGCCACATATGATCTTTTAAGTGTGTCACGTTTTGTGGGACTATACTCGAGAAGAAGAAGAAGAACACAACTCTGATTCAAACTTAAATATAAATGTCCCTTATAATAATAAATATATGAGCCTACAGCAGGCCGTTAGAAAAGAGTAAGAACCTGAAAGTGAAAAGTTAGATAAATAACAAAACGTGATTTACAAAGGTTTGTGTACCGGGAGCAAATACATTCCCACGGCAATTTGTATGCAGCTACATTTTTGAAAACTAGCAGAAAGTGTACAAGTCACCACTGGGGAAACACTTCTGAAAGCGTGCGTAAAGTAGTAGTCTCCACGACTGGAAAACACAACACACACACACATGCACACACACTCACTACAGTCCCACCTCGAATCTCTGGAAGCGCTGCGCTTTGGCGACTATTTAACAAGAGCAAAAACAAACAAAAGTCCCTTGCAGCCCAAATAGCTCCCATGGTGATATGATCCAAGTTTAGAGGTCTTCTCAAAAGGACGCGTACGCACTGAAGTCGTGACCGAGCGTCCGCCTCATTTTCATTCTAGCCTGTCAATCTGCCTCACAAGGGGCTTTTGAAAAGAGAAAGGAGTGAGTAAGTGAGTGAATGTGTGTGTGTGTGTGTGTGTGTGTGTGTGTGTGTGTGTGTGTGTGTGTGTGTGTGTGTGTGTGTGTGTGCGCGTGTGTGTGTGTGTGTGTGTGTGTGTGTGTGTGTGTGTGTGTGTGAGAGAGAGAGAGAGAGAGAGAGAGAATAAGAGCGTGCGTGCGCCGGTGCGCGTACATGTGAGTGAAAAAAGCCCTGCTTTTGAAGCAGAGCTGCGTAAAGTCGGTCAAATAGCCAATGCAAGACCGGAAATGTCCTTGTGCACAGGCTTATTTGACTAGTGCGTATAATAACCAAACATTAATACTAAAAGCTCATTATCATTACTCAAACAGCTAAAAAAATAACAAAAACAGCATAGCCTAGGCTATGATTAATCGAAACAAACATTATAAAATACTTCCCACTTTTTACTAGGCCCTATGTAATAACATAGTCACGTGATACAACCTCTGTAATCTAACATTTAGGATTGTGTTATGGAAGGTATGACCGGAAATCATTTGGTGAAACATGCCGTGATGGTGATGCTTTTACATACTGAACACTTGTAAACATGGCCTTTGGCATCTGTTTCAAAGTCGTACATGCTAAAATACTGTGATAGAAAGACCGAAAAAAATTATATGAGAGATGTTATTCAGTGATAGGTTAGCTAACTTAGCCTACCAACTAGTTATGTAAAATTGTTCTGGAGGAATGGATATAAAAATAAGCCAAACAACGTCGTTGCTAGGCAACACACGTTTATCTTGTCTAATTTACAACAGCTTGAATTGATGGATCGTACATTTTAATAATGTTGTTAGCTGTACAGGTTCATCAAATACACAGATATGGTAGCTAAAATACACAGAAGAAGAAGCTTAATCATAATTTAACTACGTTTGAACTTACACACAGCTGGGGCTCTTCTCGCTGCTGTCTTCAACATTGCTCAGTTCTGTCAACAGAAATCAGCAATGATTAAAGAAGTATCAAGATCCTTCACAAAGAAGGCTTGCTTGAAAAACACTACACAATCCTGCATATAAAATGTTTCTTAAGTAGAATTAAGTGAGTATAAGGAACATTTAGTCATGGCACCAGCATTAAAATCTTCACATTTGTTGTTTAACTGAAAAACATATTTAACTATGGTCATTGCCAATCAAGTCAAATAAACATAGAAGCTTAAAAATGAAAGTAAAGACTCAATTATTTTTCGAGTAGCAGATGGCAAGCCATATCAATACATTATGTAAGATGTATAATACAACTTCTCCAACCACAATACAACTGAGTTACTAATTGAGTCGCATAATTTGGTATTACACAAAAAAACCACAATTAGCCTGTAGGCCTATAGTGTTACGACAGAAAACTGCTCCACAGTGTTCAATGTGCATTACCTCGTTGATTAATATCGATTAATATCTGCCTTACTTATATATAGCTCTTGTGCACCACCTATCGGCGCACAAAATAATCACAATCCAGCTTTTTATTTGTCATGTTTTATTACAGATCTACTTTGTGGTACAGTATACAAAAAAAGTATTAAAAACATCTACATTGCATGTTCGAAGGAAGTGCACACAATTAAAAAGACTTTCTGAAAAGGCTCTATACCAGTTATCAAAATGTCAGTTTAAGAAAAGGTTTTGCAATAAATAAATATAAATTACATGAGAATCATGACAAGGTCAGGTAATTCATTAAGGCACACCTCACATCCCAAATGTACCTCGCAAAAACAATATGGCAACTCCCTAAGGACAAAAACAAGCTTATTTCCCAGTTTAAAAGGGAGCAGCACTTCTCCTTTTTATTATAATCATAAAACATGTTCAGCATTTAACTACCCTGCCACAGAAAAGTTTATATATTAAGCAACTTTACAGAGCATTGCCTGTCAATTCATGAAGTTGGTATTGCTTACATTAATGCAAAAAAAGCTAACTGAAACCGTGACTTTACAGTATGAAATTCAGACAGTATGCACAATGGCTTAAACTGAGCATTATTTTTTACATGACATACAAAAGAAATATCTTGAGACAATTGTGAATTTTGATTAGAAAAATGTTAAATATTGCTGAAATAATGGATGCTGTTCACAAGTCAATTTGGTTGAATAAGGATCTATCACTTTATACTGTAATAGCAGGTGTGATAGACCGCCCCAGAGCACTTCTCACATTCAAAATGTCTGCATAGTTTGAACTTTGACAATTGCTTCTGAAGATAAATCACATAAATGGCAATCACATTTTCTCTAACATAAACAAAGGTTCAGTTTCTGACCGTTGCATGCCATTAGAAATCAAACAAAAGGATTATTGCAGCTCCCTGATGCTGCGATTAAATATACTGTTCCCTGCAGTTTACACATAATTCTGAAGAGCATAGGCTACAGCTTTGAAAACCTTTACAGAAATATGTCTGACAAAATGAGATGGGATGAGATAAACCCCAATATCTGGTTAAGTGTAAAGTACTTTTTTTAATTTTTTTTTCTCAAGGAAGTAGTGATTTGCTATTCCTGTAGTTGAAAAAAAGTTTGGTTGTACCAGAAGCCAAAATACTGTGTATTTACAAAATCCATTTGTTTTTTTTAAACATTTGTTTTACAACATGCATTTTCATTTCATTGGAGGCTTTACAAAAGAAATAAATAAATTACTTTCGTCATTTCAAAGGGCGGAGGAATGTACTGCATGCATGATCTAACCACATCTATCCGAGTCGATGTGCAGCAATTGATGAAAAATCAAAACAGAGTGTTTCAAACTTGTAGCATGCTCAAGATGTGACAATGTCAAAGTGTTCTCATCTATACACACAGACATTAAAACCTAATTAAATTCATAGAGGACTGTTGTAATCATTATCCCTTGGCTAACAAACCGTTTTTTTGTGCACTAAAAATTCTACAGACTCACACATTCGCCCATATGGAACAAACAGATAAAACAAAACGTTGCAGCAACATGTTGAAGAGCCACTTCGACATAGACAAAAAAGCTGGTATTAGAAGAGCTGGTGGCTTTCATATACACACCGACAATCAGACAAATTATGAAAAATAATAAAACAGTCTTGATATGTATGAAAAGTTGACAAAGTATTTACAAAACATTGATCATTTAATACAAAATATCCAAAAACAATTTGAATCAAAAAAGGAGCCTTGACACAATTTGCTTCCGCAGCCTATAAATAACACTAATGCCCGTGTACGTTTTTTTTTTGCTTTTTGCTTTCTATAAAAAAAGAAAAGAAATCAACTCTATACAAAAGTTAAAAAATACCCATATAAAAAAGGAACAATACATAGAAAAGAAATATCTAAATAACTAATCTAGTTGGGAGAGTGGAAATTAGGAGGTCTGCCACTGGAGACAAATCCAGGAGGATGCCATGGATACCCCTACAGGGGGATTCAACAAAAGCATTCACCAGGTTTCTTTGATGACTTCTGGCAGTTGTGGAGGAAGTGTGTCTGGAAGGTGTGCAGCCACTTGCGTGGATGCCAGTTTTTTGGAACTGCAGCAGGGTTTGAAGAGACGAGGATCAATGATCACCTCTCCAAACCGCCCCTTATAGACAATCCCACAGCACACCTTTTGCCTAAAACATAGGGGGGAAATGACCTTTTAGTTATGGATGATATTCAAAGGGTGCAAAATCGCTTAAAACATTTGTCATGTTACTTTGTTCAACTCAAATCGGATTAATGATTGCGCACCTTTTCCAGTAGGAACGGTCCAGAAAAGAGAAGCTGGACGGAGAGGGGCGTCTCTGTTTGGACTCGATGTCTGAGCCGTCATCCGATAGGTTGCTGTAACTGGGGGACTGGGCAGGAGACACACTGGAGGTGGTGCTGAGTGCATCTGAGTCGGCTAGGGAAATAAAATAAATGCTTTTTAGAAATTGCCTTCAAATTTAGGAGTTTTTTTTTCCTAACACAATTTTGTCTAAAAAAATAATCAGTAAAATAGTAAAAAATCCCCAAACAAATTCCTTAAATCCATGTAAAGACATCTTAACTGCTTGTTTTGTCTGACAACTGTCCAATACCCAAACAAGTTTGGTTAACAATCATAGAACAACAACTGCTGTTGGCATCCAACAAGATCACATCGAAAAGGCAGAATCTGTATGTTTTCTTTAATTAATCAATCATTTATTCACCCCTTTTAACTGGTTTCAGCCTAGATGAAAACCAAAAAATATCAGTTACAGTCACCAAACCCAAAGATCCACAAGATGCTGCTAAAGCAGTGATTGTCGGCCCGGCTGAACAGACATCCACAACACACCCAAGGTGGTGAGATTGCATGCATTGTGTCATTTTGATATAGCACCATTTTTTCCTTGAACATGCACTTGTATTTTTTGTCAACAAATATTCCATATCTGGTGAGTTTCAAATCTATTTATATCACCCAAAAGAATCTCACAACACATGCATGTTATAAGGTAATATATTTAAAACAACTTACTTAGTCTCTTTAACTTGTGGAGCTTCTTTAGCTTGCTTTTCTTCTTCCCATCACTGTTCTTGATCTTCTTGGGTTTAGTCATCTTGAAGCCTGGTCCAGCTCTTGCATCCACCACCTGAGCCAGGTCAGGTGAAACATCAGGTCAATATAACGCCTTCTTGTGACAGTCGGACACATTTGATTCTCATTACTCTTAGCAGACGAGACTTACATGATTCCAGTTTTTCTTGGAGCCATTTGGTAACTTCTTCCACCTCTTCACCAGCAACACACAGGCATTGCAAATGTCTCCAACACGATCTTCTGACAGCCTTTAAGTATTAAAGTGGTATTGCTTAAAACTTGTCACCCAAATTCCTGTTTTATTAATTTACACAATGAAAGGGAAAACAGGATGAAACAATACAACCAAACATTGAATGAATGAGAGCTTTTACCCAAAACAGAGCTCGAATGTCTCTTCATATCGACTGCTGTCTGTGAAGCGTGAGCTGGAGGACTTGGTCTTGCAGATGCAACAGCCTTCGTTACTCCGGTAGATCTTTGACTTGTGAAAGCCAAACATATTACGTTTGTTGGTTGGTTATGGCAGTAATCTGGAAAAGTAAACCAGAACGATCGTTAAATCTCTTTGTAATATCACCGTGGGTGCAGTCAGTTGTGCTTTCTACTACCGAGAAGGGGGCGGTCCCTACACATACAGATAAACAAAACCACTCTTAACGCATCATTTTTTAACACAAATCTAGTATGAAACTCACATTTGAGGTAGCAGTATATTGTATTTGAAGTGCATTGACAACTGAACTAGCGTTTTGCTAAAGAAAAACGTCGAACTATCTTATGGAATTCAAAGCAAAGTAGCGGGAACACCAAAACAACAAAAAATACAACACTGACATTTCATAAACGTTTAAAACTTCAAGTTGTGTTGAATAAACAAAACGTAAGTACCAATCGTGTTACATTTTGTGCGGTAGCAACGGATGCAGGCTCCCAAACGTTTACACACATTCACGCCACACGGTAAGCGTTCCACACCCACAACATAGCGTTTTACTATCGGTAACTGGTTCTTATGTTACTTTTCGGAACAACAGCCAGTACATTGGAAATGTTGAGGATTTATCAGTCTCAATACAATTAAAATGGTTGGTCTAACATACTGCTCAGTTGAGGATTTGTTTGTAGGGGAAACCCGAAACAAAAAGCGGGCAGCAGCAGCAGCGCTTTTTGAAGTGAAGAAACAAAAAGCTACCGGGGCTGAAATATGTGTAACACGCCGTGTCCGAACAACACACAATCCCCAACTTAGTGCAATTCGTGTATGTTGTCGGGATTTTAATAAAATACAGATACGTTACAATGAATACATCATTCCCTTTAAATTCAAACTTTTGCCCGCTAGAGCGGCAAATACGGTTCATTGTTGTTAGCTGTTAGCATGCTAGCTAGCCGACGTAGCTACCATTACCACGCCACGCTCTCGTTCACTTCCACGTTATCCCATTGTCGGTTAGTCTTTACACATTTAGCTGCACACGCTCACGTCAAGCTACGACCACACCACAATACCATCATTCTCTTCGCATATAACAAACCAGTAAAATACTACAAATATCATTCCTTTACAAGGGAAATTAAATTGCACTTACTGAACAAAAACTTTGAATCTTCGCCGTATTCTTGGAACGCACTGCGCATGCTCTTACTACAACTGCATACAGCTGTCTATTAGAATATCATTAGCATGAATGAAAGGGCCGGGCGTGCAATGACCATATAAGGAGTGCAGCCGTTGGGTTTGAACCTGGGTTTAACCAATCGCTGCTGTCCTCGGTACTCTTCACAAGATATGAATGACGGGAAGCGTAGTAAATGAGCGGGAGATCTTTGTACCGTCACAGAGTTGTTAGCTGCTTTCCCTTAAACTCAAAATCCCATAAACCCCCTGGTTGAAGGCATGGCGCGAACGAGTTTGTTTACATGTTCTCAGCTGAGAAAGCGCATTCAACAGCGTTTATACGGTTAAATCACTTGTGTGTTACTTTTCAACTGAATTATTTGACAAAAGTGACTATAATTAGATTGGCACTAGTTAGGTTTTTTATTTTATGGGATATTTTGCTTTTGAAGACAAACTTTAGAGAAAATTAGATTTAGGGTTCACATTATAACTTAGTTATTATCATTATTTAATGACTTGTTTGTTCTAATAAATCTAAGAAAATGATTACAAAATCATCATTGTTTTGAAGCCCAACTTCACATATCAATTTAGCCTGCTTTGTCCTATGGTTTTATCTAAACAATTAGTATATTTTATTTACAGTCGGCATGTGAATTTTTGAACCACTTTTTTTCAGATGAGAAAGCACATGTAGAACTTAAAGCTATTCATGAAAAACTGGTTGACTTATACCATTTAATCCACTTTAATGCATTACTGATGCTTTATTCTTAATATATTTTTACACTGTACACTGTTGCTCACTTAGTAAACACTACATTACACAGCTATTTCAATAAATGTACAACAGTATTGGAAAACAAAAATATATATCTCCCAAGATGCTCATGTGTGGGTCGTACACAGACGAGTACAACACAGTTATTCCAGACGTTGTTGGCACAGAAAATAAGTCCTTCACATATTAAATCTCTTGTTCTGCACAGTTCAAAATATGTAACGGAGGAGGGCCCGTTAACACGTAAAGACACCCCGGTATGGAGTTTGTAGGAGGGTTGAATTTTCTGTTGTGGATATTGCATAGCAAGAAACCATGATGACAAAATCAGGAGCGGGAAGGAGCTGTCCTTTTTCTTCCTCACATGTGAAGCAGGAGATCATCCTTCATCACGAAGAGTGGACAGAGATCACCACACTGTTTTTATTCAGAGAACAGGGCAGATGTAGTGTGAGAGCTGGGATGATGATGGAGGAAAGGGTTGAAGGTATTTACATGAAGGCTTTCATTGTGATCAACTTTGCACAGAAAAATGGGTCAAGCGTGTCTTCGAGGACTTGTTTTACGAACACAAAAAGCCAAAAGACTTGGGGTACTTTCCTCATCCAACTGAATACACTGGTCATCACTGGATGCAGGGTTAATCCACACAGTCTTTTTATCATGCAAAAATGATGATTTTCTCTGCTATAGGTATTTCATGTTAAACATCTGCACACTAGTACATTTCTCAAGGAAAGCCCAGATGTAACAGCCTTTTTGTTTCCATGTAGATAAATCCTTTTCTACACTACAAACCCCCTGTCAAACACATACTTACTTATAAAGCATACTTCTACATCATTTGCTTTAAGCTCTGTGTTATGACATTTGAATCTGAGTTGACAACAGGGCAAGCAACTTCACTGATTTAACAAAATAATACTTTTTTTCTCTGAAAATATATTAACAGTTTTGATCGTTGCTTTCCTTCAAATATATCCATTGTCAGCAGTACACAATAAAAATGAAAATATTTTTTCAGTAAAACATTATAGCACAAGTAGGTCATTGTCAATATTGTGAAAATGGTGGTTCATAATAGAAAACATATTTTTAACATCTAATGGCCACATCATCAAGGATAAAAATGACAACATATCTTAAAAGGCTCATTGCACTTAATATATGGCAAATGTAACAGTAGCTTTAATATAAGCCAGAAAATGTCTTTTGTTCAAGTCTTTTCCTGCATATAAAAGGTTCAGTTACTCTTTTTAGTGGTCCCCAGTGATCGTCCTGGTGGGGAGTTGGTTTATTTTAGATACCAACACCTTTGACAAGTGAAGCCTCCAGGGTGATGTTGAACTCCTGCAGAGTCTGTAGTACTCTAATGAGAGAGTTTACCAACGAGAGGTCCTTCATCAGAGCGGTGTCTTCATACATCTGAGCCGTGATTGGACAGTCTGCGAGCAGAGCGATCCAGTGATGCAGCAAGTGATCCCTGAGAGAAGAAGACGTGTGTGGATTCAACATAACAGAAAAACACTGGAGACTTCCAACATGTATTGCCTGTTGCAACTTTTCAATATATAACAATTTAGAACTATGAGAGTGTTAATATCATATTATCATTATATCATAAAGCTAATATCAATGTGAAAAACATTAATCTGTATTTGAAAATGTCTTTAAAAGGCCTGTTTAAAATGTATGGTGCTGCAATAAACTATTATTTTCATGATGGTTGAATCCTTTTCTTCAAATTACCTTTTTTTGTATTACCAACAGTCCAAAACAATTTTAGGATTGTCAAGTATTATCTACTTAAAAGATGAAAAGAAGTCATCTAGTATCTAAATGGTTGGCCATACATTTTTTCACTATTGAATATTGATTAAGAAATTGCTGCAGTACAACTGTTTTGAACAGAGAGGTCATATATAGAAACATGGTAAAAGCGCTGCATCACTACACCTAAAATGCACAGAACCATCTTCAACACAGGAAGATCTTAAGAAAAACAATTAAATATCTAGAATCATTTAAAGGAGAAATACTTTTTGTTTGACTCATTGCCGGTCAGGATGATGTGTCACATACAGAGTGAAGCATGTACATCAGTTAGGGGTTCAGTGATGTAACCAAAGACATTTCAGCAAGACAGATTGATTAGTGTCTTTGAAGCTGAAGCTTGATTTATGGTTGCGCATTAAGGGGTTTACGATGCTGACGTGTCAATACTCACCATTAATACCTGCTACCTAAACACCCCAAAGTCTTTAGTATTCTCAGGAGGGGAACTCTGGAGCCTTAGTATTGGGTTTAGTATGCAGGTTTCAACGCATCTATCCTGAAGGCTAAACTTGCTTAACAATAAAAAAAAATCCACTTGATCTAAATATGAGTCTGTGGACATACCTTGCCCCCAGACAGACGAGCATCTGGAACTTCCCGTCCTTGCCGATGTTTCTGGAGGTGTTGTTGATGGCGCGCATGAAGCGGCAGAAGTGACGCACTCGGGTTTGCCAGTTTTCATCTGGTGTCGCCTCCCGCTGCTCCGCACTTTCAAAGTACACTTGTGACTTTTCTGTTAAAAAAGTAAAACAATTCTTTTAAATGACAAATCAGTTTCTATAGTGATACTTAAATGTTAAGAAATCTAAACAATGTTTGATAATACAAAAATGTAGGTTTTGGAAGGAATATCACATTATGGCTTAAGTAATATACTGTAAGTGAGTAATGACATTAAGTCTTTACCTAAGAGGTCCCAGATGAAAATGTTCTTAAAGAGTCGGGGGGATTTAAAACCATGTTGAAAAACTTGCTCCAGAGCCCAGACGAGGCCGTACTCCCCGCAGAGGAGAAGGGTCAGACTGCCTCTCTGTGGAGAGAAAGAACAAAAGTCAGAACTGATAATAATGTGGTGTTTTCTGATAAATATGACAACTAGACTCAATATTTGATGGCTTCTTCGATCCAGTTATGTTCACTAAAATCAAATCTCTCTTCAATATTCTGTAAATAGGTGGAGTAAAGAAGAGTGAGGGGGATTTCCCTGCAAGAATACTTTGTACCTTGCCTTCACAATGAATAAATAGTAAAACCTATAATCAGCAGTCACAATTGGTATCCTCTGAATTATAATAATCACCCTTTGTGCCTTAATATGTAGTAATTATCATGGTTAGTATGATTATCAGTGCCCTCATGACAGAAACAAATATTTGTATGGGATCAAGTAAAATGTCTTCTTTCTGAAACCAGTCTTCTTTAATATGTTTCAACAATGTGAATCCTCCACATAGCCCACAGTAACAGAGGGGCTTTGGAACCACCAGAGCATTAAGCAGCTTTTCTTCATTTGTGATGAATAATAGAACTACATGTTGGGGCCCGTCTAGACTTGCGTCTCTCACCTCCTTCTCCGGCTTGTGGAAGTGCTTCACAATCCCATTGATGGCCTCTCCCACTCCCTCCTGGATCTGACCCGTGTTTAACTCTGGATAAGAAGAAAAAAGGCAAACAATGTTGGCACACAAAGGGACATTTTAAAATACATTTGTCATTGTGAAGGCATTAAAGGTCCCCCCTATCATACAAAATGCACTTTTTGATGTCTTTTATACATAAATATGTGTCCCTGGTGTGTCAGTAGACTCACAAAGTGTCCGGAAATACAACCATCTCTCTTTTCCTCCTTACCCACATCTCTAAAAACGGTGGTATAACGGAGCTGATCCAGATTTGCGTCCGATATGACGTAATATCGAAAATGTGGGCTGGCCACCCACGGCCCTATCAGAAACGCCGCTATCAGAAATAATGCGTGTTTTGGAAGTAATATGGTCTGTGTTTACATTAGCAAGCACCGCTAACACTCAGAGCTAACGCTGTACTGGAGAGAGTATGTGTAAAGAAGCAGGATATAAAAATACTTAATTTTTTTAATAAAGCTACGGACCCGTATTCAGCACTTCTCTAACAGGGCTGAAATAGAGGGGTATGACTCCGTTTGGTATTTTGAGCAAAACACTTCATAGACATGTTTTTTATATATATCTGAGACCTATAATATATGCCTACAAATAGTATAATAGGAGACCTTTAAGAACAAGGTTGCAAGCATTAGTGAGAAGGGGGCAGACGGTGGTCCAATTCTTTAAGATAACAATTGAATCTCAATTCAACTAGAATATAACAAAAAGTCCTCAAACACTATCTAGCAGTTAATTTTATGGTTGTGAAGTTGAGTGACTTACTTGGTTTGCTGTTTGGCGAGATGGTGACAAACCTCCTCATCATCCCAGGGG